ACTAAACTAAAATAAACTAGACTAAACTAGACTAGACTAGACTAGACTAGACTAAACCAGACCAGACTTGACCAAACTATACTAAACAAAACTAAACTAAACTAGACTAGATTAGACTAAACCAGACCAAACTAAACTAAACTAAACTAGACTAAACTAGACTACATTAGACTAAACCAGACCAGACTACACTATACTAGACTAAACTAAACTAAACTAAACTAAACTAAACTAACCTAGACTAGACTAAACTAAACTAAACTAAACTAAACTAAACTAAACTAAACTAAACTAAACTAAACTAAACTAAACTAAACTAAACTACACTAGGCTAAACCAGAACAGATTAGACTAGACTAATCTAAACTAAACTAAACTAAACTAAACTAAACTAAACTAAACTAGGCTAGACTAAATTAAACTAGGCTAAACTAGACTAGATTAGAATAAACCAGACTAAACTCAACTAGACTAACCTAGACTAGAATAGACTTGACTTGACTCGACTTGATTAGACTAGACTAGACTAAGCTAGACTAAATTAAACTAGACTTGACTAAACCAAACTAAACTAAACTAAACTAGATTAGACTAAACTAAATTAAACTAGACTAGACTAAACTAAACTAAAATAATCTAAACTAGACTAGACTAGACTAGGCTAGACTAGACTAAACCAGACTAAACTAAACTAGACTAAACTAGACTAGACTAAACTTAACTAATCTAAACTAGACTAGACTAGACGAGGCTAGACTAAATTAAAATAGACTAGACTAGACTAAACTAAAATAAACTAAAATAAACTAGACTAGACTAAGCTAAAGTCTTTCTTTCTTTCTTTTCTAACTAACTAAACAAACAAACTCAAGACACCAAAAACATTATTTCTGACTTGTTGACTTCTTGAATGCAGATATTTGACGTTGCGGAGGGAGCTCAGGGAAACATCGGCCCCGCTCATAACTTTGAGCCTCCTCATTACGATGGCATTGAGTGTCTCGCTGTACACGGTGACGTGCTTTTCAGTGGCTCCCGGGACAACGGCATTAAGAAATGGGATCTGCGACAGCAGGAACTGATTCAGGTAACAACAGTCTAAATTTGAATTTAAAGCGACAGTCATCAACAATGCACAATTAGGGTCAAAGCCTAAAAGAAGCAGTTACAAAGAGATATAAAACATTATTTGTGTAGAGAAATCAGAGACTTATTTTACATCTAATAGGTCCCCATTTAAAGTGTATTAAAGTTAAGACTGCTTACATGACTGACAGCGACTACAACATCCAGTGCTGGAACATAATATGTGTGCAGACGATTGCTGTTTCAGGAGGTAATAACCCAGCGTTTACCTTTTGTTCCTGTGTCAATAGATGTAGGATGGCTTCATTTATCAGCTAAGGTTGACGTCACTGCAGTCTGACAGCTCTTAGTGAAAAAAAAAAGTCTGGTTTGAATGGTTTCTCCTGCAGATTATATTAGACGAGCAGTTTCCACAGTTCCAATCATCCCGAGCTAAAAGGTCAAAAATAATGGAAGATTATTATAAGACAATGTTAAAAATGGCTCAGACAAAACGAGTCTCCTACCTGTGAAGGAATATATGAATTATTCATTTCACAAGCAAATTGTCGCGTTGATGATTTTCAGTGAATTACGATGCTGAAATCTGAAACATGTTTGCGGTGAAATTGTGATGATTTAACAGTATTTACCTGTAAACATTTCCAATTTTGCTGTCTTTTTTCGCGCATGTAATCTTCACATCAGTCTTTACTCATCAATATGCTAATGTATGCAGTGCTCTCTCCAACTCAAGCTATTAAAGTCTGTAGACTTTTATTATAGTTTAGTGATGCGTTTCCAACTGATGTGGAATATTGAGTAGGGGGCGGGACTTTATTTTTGTGCTCCTCCCCTCATCTTTAACACACAGCAAACTAATGGCCTGGAGGGGCGGGGCTAAGCATATTTATATCTTAATATATTTATATTTAATATCTATCCATCCATCCATCCATCCATCCTTCCATCCTTCCATCCATCCATTCATCCATAGTTCTTATCCATCCATCATTGTCATCCATCCATCCATCCGTCCGTCCATCCATCCATCCATTCATCCATAGTTCTTATCCATCCATCATTGTCATCCATCCATCCATTCATTCGTCCGTCCATCCATCCATCCATCCATCCATCCATCCATCCATCCATAGTTCTTATCCATCCATCATTGTCATCCATCCATCCATCCATCCATCCATTCATCCATCCATCCATCCATCGTTCTTTTCTATCTATCTATCTATCTATCTATCTATCTATCTATCTATCTATCTATCTATCTATCTATCTATCTATCTATCTATCTATCTATCTATCTATCTATTTATCTATCTATCCGTCTATCCGTCTATCCATCCATCCATCCATCCATCCACCAACCAACCAACCAACCAACCAACCAACCAACCTATCCATCCATCCATCCATCCATCCATCCATCCATCCATCCATCCATCCATCCATCCATCCATCCATCCATCCATCCATCCATCCATCCATCCATCCATGTCTGTCTGTCTGTCTGTCTGTCTGTCTGTCTGTCTGTCTGTCTATCTATCTATCTATCTATCCGTCTATCCATCATCCATCCATCCATCCACCAACCAACCTATCCATCCATCCATCCATCCATCCATCCATCCATCCATCCATCAATCTATGTCTATCTATCTATCTATCTATCTATCTATCTATCTATCTATCTATCTATCTATCTATCTATCTATCTATCTATCTATCTATCTATCTATCTATCTATCTATCTATCTATCTATCTATCTATCTATCTATCTATCTATCTATCTATCTATCTATCTATCTATCCATCCATCCATCCATCCATCCATCCATCCATCCATCCATCCATTATTCTGTCTATCATTCCATTTATCTATTCTTTCAAACACCACCTCCTCCCCTTCAATAGGAAGATGTTTAAATCCCAGAGCAGTGAATGGTGTGTGTGTGCGTGTGTGTGTGCGTGTGCATGTGCGTGTGTGTGTGTGTGTGTAAGCAGTGTATTTAGCTGAACACGCTGTTATTCTCGCCTGCCCTCTTTGACTGCACAACTGAGTAAATTTGTCAAGATAAAGTGCTCTGGTTGCTCTCCTTTATGAGACTTTCTGTCCAGCTCCCTAAAGGCCTGTGGAATTGGTGGAATGAACTGGAACTTGGTTGTTAAAAAAAGTGAAATGCACCAGTGTGAAATACAGAACTTTTTTTACACCTAAAAATCTCTCTTCAAATGAGTTTTTTCTATAGAATGCTTTACAATAATATATTGGTTTATGAACAGTAGATTAGTCCGTAACAAACACAAATCTGGAACTAATCCAACAAAAAACTGAAGATCACAGTCCACAAATCACTACAGCCAAATTAATGTTGTGGAAAAGTTCAATAATTTTCCTTCGGCTTAGTCTCTGATTCATCTGAAGTCGCCGCAGCGGAATGAACCACCAACTATTCCAGCATTTGTTTTATGCAGTGGATGCCCTTCCAGCCACAACCCAGTACTGGGAAAAACCCCTACACTCGGTCAATTTAGTTTATCTAGTTCACCTATAGCGCATGTGTTTAGACTGTGGGGGAAATCGGAGCACCCAGAGGAAACCCATGCCAACACAGGGAGAACATGCAAACTCCACACAGAAATGCCAACTGACCTAGCTGGGACTCAAACCAGCAACCGTCTTGCTGTGGGGGCGACTGTGCTAACCACAAAGCCACCGTGCTTCCTTCGTGGAAAAATATTTCAATTTTAATAAACAGGAAATTCAAAAGAAACATAAAAATCTAACATTTTGTTGAAGTGTTGTATTTATTTATTTATATATTTATTTTCTGCACAGCAAATCCCAAATGCACATAAGGACTGGGTGTGTGCGCTGGCGTTTGTTCCCGGGCGGCCGATGCTCCTCAGCGCCTGCCGGGCAGGAATGCTGAAGGTGTGGAACGTGGACAACTTCACGCCCATCGGGGATATCAAGGGTCACGACAGCCCCATCAATGCCATCTGCACCAACTCCAAACAGATCTTCACTGCATCCAGGTACTGTGTGTGCACACGCAACACTGACTGTGCTGGATATTAAAGGAACACTATACTTTTTAAAAACATATATACTCGTTTTACAGGTCACATATAGTATAACAATCGAGTTTTACCACTTTTGAATCCATTTAGCCGATCTCCGAGTCTGGCGGGAGCACTTTAAAGGCCTATACACACTATGCTATCTGAACCGTGCCCAGGCCCGTTTCCAGGTTCGTTTCAGAAGTGTGAGTGCGCTGAATCGGGCTCAGGCATGGTTCACTTGGCCGGCCCTGGCTCAGTTGGAAGAGGTGTGCCTGAGCGTGGTTCACATGGGCCCGAAACTGAAAGCGAGATATATATATATACATACATATACATACATACATACATACATATATATATATATACAGACCAAGTAGAATAATATAATAAGAAAATATCAAATTGCAACATCAAGCAGCGTATCGAGCATTTTTTTACGTCAAAAAATGAATGGAAGTGAATGAGACCGGAAGTCTCGAGCAAAAACATTCAAATGGCAGCGCCCACTCGTCGGTGGAGAATAAGGTGAATAGAAATATACAGTAAGGCTCATATTTGCCTCCGGTTATTGAACTTTAACTGCATTGTACAAAACTGCATCACGTAATTCAATCGAGTTTGGTTTGTTTTTGTGCAGAGAGAACGGCAAATGCTTTAATGTCAGCGTCTGCATTGTTAATACATCAATTATGATGCCACCCATTTCTAGTCTGCAGCATTTACTTCAAATGTCACAACAGTGTGTGGAAAACTGTTATGATATCTCCAGATGACCTGTTGGCAGCTCGAACTTTCCGGCACTTCAGATGACTAGAAGCGAAAACTTCTCAGGTGCACTGAGCAAAACAAGACGAGTAGAGCAGTAAAGGTGATCATTTAGTGATGGTAACATAAGCAGTTATTTAAAGCTCTCCGGTGTATTTAAATGGGTCATCAGCTCAACGAGTGTGTGTGTCTCTTCACTCTCCGCTGATGGCTTTTTCCAGACGGCCAGACTACTTAGAAATGTTCAGTCAGACTAATATGTTTTTAAGACCTAGTTTTGTGCATTTCGGGGATGCTTGTTTGTAGAGCAGATGGGCAGGGAATTGTGGGATTGTTTGGCTCTTCTTCATTAATGTGCCTGTTTCCTCAAGCCTCTTTCCTTCTGTCTCTGTGTGTTTCTTGTGTGTTCTGTGGGTCTCTGTAACGCAGTGACTGTCGGGTGAAGTTGTGGAGTTATGTCCCCGGCCTCACGCCCTGTCTGCCCCGGCGGGTTCTGGCCATCAAGGGCCGGGCCACCAGCCTCCCCTGAGCCTCCATTAAAACCTCCCGCCTGCTCCTCTGGTACTGTCCTTTCTGTCTCTCTCTATCTCGTCTGCTTGTGTCTCTGTTTGATTTTCTGCTTTTCCCTGCTTTCCTCTTTCAAGTTCCTTTTTACAACGGGCAAGTTCATTTAAAGAAAAGTTTAATTACATCATTATGATTGTATTTAAATTACATTTGTAATTTAAACCATGAAGTCATAAGACAAAGGCACTCGAAAAGTAAGTGAAGAAATTAAAAAGGCTTCGTTAACAAGGCCATTCTATAAAACAGAACCTAAGGATTTCAGCAATGCATGCCTTCATCAGGGTAACAAAGGTCAGGAGCGTCTAGAGCTCATTTTAACCCTATGGTATCTAAACCATATCTAAACCCTGGGTGGCCAGCCGTGTTCCTGAACATCTACCTTTCTGCAGATTTTAACTGCAACCTTGATCAAACACACCTGATTTTAAATACCAAGTGCTCCTTCAAATCGGTTTAGTTGTGTTTGATTAGGGTTGGAGCTAAATCATGCTGGACGGGTAGATCTCCAGGAACAGGGTTGAGCACCACTGATCTAAACAATAGGAAATATATCGAACACAAAGTCAACTTAACAGTCATCATTAATTCAGTAATGGAAGAGAGAGAAAAAGGGTTAATAATCATGATAGTTATTATACAACATATTTCTCAAAAACTACAACATGAAATGTGTATAGAAAAGTTGAAGTCTGATTTATTAGGCCCCCTTTGAATTTGTTTTTCTTTTTTAAATATTTCCCAAATGATGTTTAACAGAGCAAGGAAATTTTTACAGTATGTCTGATAATATTTTTTCTTCTAGAGAAAGTCTTATTTGTTTTATTTCGGCTAGAAAAAAAGCAGTTATAATTTTTTAAACACCATTTTAGGGACAAAATTATTAGCCCCTTTAAGCAATTTTTTTTATTTGTCAACAGAACTTTTTTTTTTATATATGCGTGTGTGTGTGTGTGTATGTATATATGTATATATATATATATATATGGGTAATTCTTCAACTATGGGCACTTTATACTTTTATGTCCTTTGATTATATATCCAAAAATATTATCATTTTGTTCAAATTCTTCTTTCTTTGTCAAACTAACAATAAAACCTACTTTAAGCATTTTTACTACTTTTCTATGATTTTTTAAATATTATTCAGCCTCCTTTTAGGTGTCAAAATCACTGTTTTCACCTTGTTGCACACTCAGAGTTTTAAACTTCAACAATGAAAATAACATTTTAAAAGATTATTTATCTGGTATCTATTAATGTATCCTAATGAAGCACTAGTGAAATAGGTTAAATATTTTATAGTTATTTATGTGAGACTATTATCAATATAATTTTTTATACAAAATACAGCTGTCGCACAGTATCAGTGTCATTTCCAGCTCAACACTGTTATGTCGCTTTAAAATGTTTGTGTCAGATTATTTGGGTGGTTTTTATAAACATGAATAGTGACATCTGAGCACATGTTCAAGATGGAGAGAATTAAATTTTTTATCAACAACACTTGAAGAAAAATCAAGGTAAATATTGCTTGATGAGGAAATACATTTATTCTACGGCACTTTCAAACATGTTGTACCTTCAAAGATGATTTTAAAAACCAAATAAAATGAAGGTAAATAAGAGTGTTTTGTATACATGAAATGCTAGTATTAATTCAAAGCTAATCGGTGAAGCTAATTTTAATTTGTTCACAATAAACTGTTGAAAAGTCATTTCCACCACTGTCATTTCCATCACCACACACATTTAAAAAATATTGAAAAACACCGGCCCTCAACGACTGAGGTTGGGCGACCTTGTCTCATATTGCCATGAACTAACTTCTCTTTTTTTCTTAATCCTATGCATTTGACTTGATAAATGATGTATGTTTTCAGTCTAAAAATATAAATATTCTACAGAATATTTATTACTCTGCTTCTCTGATTTGCTTTATATAAAACTGTGTAATTTCTGTACATTATTTTAAAAGTCGTACTGAAATCGAAACAGAAATTGGTGTAATTGTGAAGACAAGGCGGAAAAAAGAAGTTTTGGAATCCCACATGAATATTAAAAATAGAGCATGAGATGCATGAGTGAGGATTTAGAGAGAGAGAAGGAAAGTTTGTAAGTGTGTTCCAGTGGAATAATTCATGAGATCTTGTTCATTAAATCAAGTGAGCAGATTGTTCAGTACTTTTTGTCGTCTTCGTGTTTTAAGAAGACGAACGAAAGAGAGAGAAAAGCACCTGCAGCAACGGTGCTTGGTGAAACTAAAGATCTTGCTTTAGAAGTGAAATCCTAGGTGTTACGGTATTTTGCTGACTGAAAACCTTATGGTATAATTTACAATACAGACTGTTATAATCATTATTTGTAATATTTTAGAAAACATATAAAAATAAAATTTTATTATAAAAAACTTTAATTTTTTTTGTAATGCAAATGTAACTTTTATGAAGGGTTTAAACAGTTTTTTGGCAACAGTGTGTAAATATAACCAGCTTATAATGGACAAAATGTATGAAATCTATTTTTTATAATCACAATTGATAAAAACAGTCTGCAGAAACATTTTGATTGACATTCTCTCTTTGTATGATGTCATCAGAGGGGGAAGCCCCGCCCATTAGCGACCATCTCTCTCTCATTAGCATAAGACTTTAGTCTTGTTTTTGGATCTACCACTATGCTGTCACATAGGCATTTGTAGCCCCGCCCTCTTTTGAAAAGAGCAAAACCTCATTTGAATTTAAAGCGACAGTCACCAAAACGCCACAGTTAGGATCAAAGCCCAAAAGTTATAGCTAAAACTTCTGTGGACTGTAAGACTTGTTGAGCCAGAGATGGTTCGTATTTTCAAAACACAATTCATACATATGCAAATCTAATTTGTTAATTCAAAACACAATTCATACATATGCAAATCCAATTCGTAAATTCAAAACACAATTCATACATATGCAAATCCAATTCGTTAATTCAAAACACAATTCATACATATGCAAATCCAATTCGTTAATTCAAAACACAATTCATACATATGCAAATCTAATTCGTTAATTCAAAACACAATTCATACATATGCAAATCCAATTCGTAAATTCGAAACACAATTTATACATATGCAAATCCAGTTTGTTAATTCAAAACACAATTCATAAATATGTAAATCCAGTTTGTTAATTCAAAACACAATTCATAAATATGTAAATCCAGTTTGTTAATTCAAAACACAATTCATAAATATGTAAATCCAGTTTGTTAATTCAAAACACAATTCATACATATGCAAATCTAATTTGTTAATTCAAAACACAATTCATACATATGCAAATCCAATTCGTTAATTCAAAACACAATTCATACATATGCAAATCCAAGTTGTTAATTCAAAACAATTTATACATATGCAAATCCAATTCGTTAATTCAAAACACAATTCATACATATGCAAATCCAAGTCGTTAATTCAAAACAATTCATACATATGCAAATCAAATTCCTTAATTCAAAACACAATTTATACATATGCAAATCCAGTTCGTTAATTTAAAACACAGTTCATAAATATGTAAATCCAGTTTGTTAATTCAAAACAGTTTGTAAATTCACAAATCCAATTCGTAAATCAAAAACACATTTCATAAATGCGCAAATCCAATTTGTTGATTTGAAACAAAATTCATACATATGCAAATCCAATTCGTTATATCAAAGCACAATTCATAAATATGCAAAGCTAGTTTGATAATTCAAAACACGATCCGTAAATGCAAAAATCCATGTGATTTGATGAAATATTTATGATTTTTACATGTGAATTCACAAATTGTGTTTTAAATTTACGGATTGGATTTTGTTATTATGTTATTTTTGACACTGATCTGGCTCCATACTTAACTGATACATTTGAAATGTATTTGAGCTTAATGTCAGCCTAATGACCCGTTCGTTTGCATCACGCAGTAATCCAGAACTCTTCTTTTTCTTCAGAAAATCAGTGTGTGAGTTTAGAGGAGCGCTCGTGATTCTGGTTCACACTTCAGGGTTTAGATTCTTATTGGGATAAAGCGTTGTATGTGCCTAATTGGTGCGCGGAGCCAGGACTCTCTTTGTAAACTCGCGGTTTTGATGTGTTCAGTGTGAGGATCTGCCGTCTGAAGATTCTCAGTCTTTGTGATTATCGGCCTTGCGCATCTTCCTCCACCTCTCATTTTATGTCTTTTGTTTTTGTTCTTCTGCCACCCCACAGTGACATGAGAGTGAAGATCTGGAATCCGAAGATGGGGAAGAAAAGGTGACGATCCTCCATTATGGAAGCGAGTCTTATCGATGGTGCCTTTTTTGGAGGTTGTCGAATGATTGGACGCCACGACTTTAGGTGTCCGAAAACCAGACGTCTCACTCCAGAAAGCCGGATTCAGGAATGAGATGAGATGCATCCCTTTGAACCTGGCGTTCAGAGAAATATGATCAGTTTGAGGATCTCCACTATTTCTTCTGGATGCCGAAAGAACACTTCTATTTTTTTGGAAATATATTTACAAGTCACCAAGAGTTAAACTGGTCAATTTGACCAATTTTAAATCCCTTTAGCTGATCTCCGGGTCTGGAAAGAGCACTTTTAGCTTAGCTTAGCATAATTCATTGATTCGGATTAGACCATTAGCATCTCGCTCAGAAATTATCAGCGTTTCGATAGTGTTTGTATTTTGGATTGACGGAAAATGAAAAGTTGATATTTTATGCGTTGATAGGGTTGGGAACTACACAGTTAAAGATTCTTGATTCTTACGCCTAAATGATAGTATAGTCCCTATACATATCAGCCTGGAAAATAGCAAGTTTTCCCTTTTCGTTGATCTTGGTACATGATGTAACTAAAGAAGAGTCCAGCTTTAAATAGGACAATTACCAAATTAGAGTTTGACTAGTGAATTTTACCAATTTTACATCCATTTAGCTGATCTCCAGGTCTGGAAAGAGCACTTTTAGCTTAGCTTAGCATAATTCATTGATTCGGATTAGACCATTAGCATCTCACTCAGAAATGATCAACAATTTGATAGTGTTCGTATTTTAAGCTTGATTTTTCTGTTATTACGTTGTGTACTTAGACTGACGGAAAATGAAAAGTTGATATTTTATGGGTTGATAGGGTTGGAAACTACACAATTAAAGATTCTTGATTCTTACGCCTCCATAATACTTTAGTTCCTAGACATATCCGCCTGGAAAATAGCAACTTTTCCTCTTTCGTTGATCTTAAATCACGATGTAACTACAGAAGAGTCAAGCTTTAAATAATAAAATTACCAAATTAGAATTTTGTGATCAAGATGCTAATGGTCTAATCCAATTCAATTATTTATGCTAAGCTAAGCTAATAATGCTCCTGTCATCCCTGAAGATGAGCTAAATGGATGATCTGAAAATCTCTAGGCCTAATTTCCCCCCCAAAATTGGAGTTTTCCTCTAAGGTGCTGTTTTGGTGATGCCTCATCCCATCGAAACACAGACAAATCCTCGAGACGACTTCTCGATCTGTAGCTGCTGAATTTACTTCCGTCTTCATTTCAAGGAAATATTTCAAGATGGTGTCACTTTTGGAAATTCCCAGAGAGCCATATGACTTCAGCCTTGATGTAGAGCTGGAAACTCAATCCTGGAGTATTGGCACCTTTTGTGTTGACCGAAGATGAGCAGATGCAGATTTGTGGATCCCAGTCCTACCTTTTTCTTGAAACATTGTGCAATAGTATGGACCACCGTGTTTTAATGCCTTCCTCTTCAGGGGTAACCAATTGCTTCCTTAAAGGGATAGTTCACCCAGAAATGACAGTTCTGTCACCCTTTAGTTGGTTCAAACCTTAAAGAGTTTCTTCTGTTGAATACAAACATCTGTAAACATTGATATTTTGAAGATATCTGTAAACATTGACTTCCTACTATGGAAGTCAATGGTTACAGGTTTTCAGCTTTCTTCAAAATCTCTTCAGTTAAACACAAAATAAGATATTTTGAAGAACACTGAAAACCTGTAACCATTGACTTCTATAGTCTTTGTTTTTTTTTCGACTATGGAAGTCTATGGTTACAGGTTTTCAGGTTTCTTCAAAACTTCTCCAGTTAAACACAAAAGAAGATATTTTGAAGAACGCTAAAAACCTGTAACCATTGAATTCTATAGTCTTTTTTTACTATAGAAGTCAATGGTTACAGGTTGTTTTTTTAGCTTCCTTCAAAATATCTTCAGTTAAACACAAGAGAAGACATTTTGAATAAGGCTGAAAACCTGTAACCATCGACTTCCATTGCCTTTGTATTTCTTACTATGGAAGTTAATGGTTACAGGTTTGTAACATTCTTCAAGATATCTTCAGTTAAACACAAGAGAAGATATTTTGAATATCGCTGAAAACCTGTAACCATCGACTTCTATAGCCTTTGTATTTCCTATTATAGAAGTCAATGGTTACAGGTTTCTAACATTCTTCAAAATATCTTCTTTTGTGTTTAACAGAAAAAAGAAACCGTTCAATGTTTGGAATCACTTGAAGTAGATGAAATAGTGACAGAATGTTCAGTTTTGGTGAACTGTCCCTTTAAAACAAACACAAACACTGTACAGCCCCCTTCTCATAGGCTTCCCTTGTTTCTAACCCATCCTGCTGTATGTTTTATGTTTTCTACCTCAGGTTTAAAGTGTGTAAAATCTTCTTCCTCAGTTTTGTTTTCTTCCAATGACAGGAGTCCGGCTTTATTGACTTCTAGATGTGTCTCAGCGGTGTGCAGCAGTTTTCAGAATCTGCTGAGTGGGCATTTTGAGGGTCTGTCCGTATAATAAGCTCATCCCATCTGGGAATCTTTTGACAGGTTTAGGCAAAAATTAGATGCAACCTCAGACTTAAAGGGGCAGTTCACTCAAAAATGAAAGTTGTCATCATTTACTTGCCATTTTGTTTTGTTGAATACAAAAGAAGATAGCTTGAAAAATGTTGTATTCATTGACATCCATAGAATGAAAAAATAAATTCTATGGAAGTCAAAGGATACTGCTTTTCCAGCATTCTTCAAAATATCTTCTTTTTTTTTCAATGGAACACAAATAAATAAAATATAATCAAAAATGGTCTGAAACCTCTTCATCATATTGTTTAATCTACTTTAACACTTTAATTTAATGAATGTTTAAGAAATGTTTCATCCAAAACTTCTAAATTAGACTCTAATTTTCTGAGTGAAACACACAAGTACAGGTCTATAAGGATGGACAAAAAAATTTGTGGTCCTCACCATTTTTTTACTCTTACTTTTAAACTTAAAAGAAGACATTTTGAATAATGTTGAAAACTGGTAACCATTGACATCCATAGTATTTTGGTACCTGCTAATGAAGTCAATGACTGCTGCCTTTTGACATTTTTCAAGGTATCTTCCTTTATTTTCAACAGAAGTAACTGGTTTAGAACAAGTTGAGGGAGTAAATGTTGGCACAATTTTTATTTTTGTGTGAACAACCCCTTTAACATTGTTTAAGCTGCTCTTTCCCACACAATGAAGATCCAAAGACTTATTATTATTTATTTTTTTAGGGTTGAATATCTTGCAGAAAACAAAACATGGCATTTTCTAATGGTATTCTGAAACCACAATAAATGTTTTGATTTGCAATGGAAGTATTTAATGTAAGATTAATCTGATGTTATGATTACGTTTTGTTTGATTTGTTTTTGCATTTGGAGCTGTTGGATGCCGTTATATGGAATAGTGCAGCTGGAACAATCCGCTAAACTTCTCCTTTTCTGTTCCACCAAAAGAAATAGTCTTGACAACATTAAGATTAGTCATTTTATTGAACCCTTAAACTAACCGAACCCTTTACGTTATTGACTCATTTAAAGGGATAGTTCACCCACAAATGACATTTGCCTCATCATTTACTGTGGTTTTAAATGTTTATTAGTATCTGTTGAACACCAAAGAAGATGTTTTGTTAATTTTTTTGCTGGTGCCCATTGACTTCTATAGTAGATATAAAATACTATAGAAGACATCCAGCATTCTTCAAAATATCTTCTTCTGTGTTTGACAGAAGTAAGCTCAGATAGGTTTAGTATAAGTGAAAGAATGGTAAATGAGCATTACCTGTTTACTGTGGTTTTAAACATTTATGAGGATCTGTTGAACACCAATGAAGACGTTTTGTAGACAAATTTCTGCTGGCACCCATTGACCTCCATTGTAGAAATAAAAAATAGTACAGAAGGCATTCAGCATTCTTCAAAATATCTTCTTTTTTGTTTAACAGACAAAAGGAACTCAGATGAGCATTTACTCATCATTTACTGTGCTTTTAAACACTTAATGACTTTTGTTTATCTGTTGAACACCAAAGATGTTTTGTAGATTTTTTTTAATTTTTTTTCTGGCACTCATTGACTTCCATAGTACAAATAGAAACACTATAGAAGACATCCAGCTTTCTTCAAAATATCTTCTTTTGTGTTTAACACATGAAAGCAAATCAAATAGGTTTCGACCAAGTGAAAGCAGAGTAAATGTAAAATTACCTCACGATTTACTGTGCTTTTAAACATCTATGACTTTCTTTTATCTGTTGAACACCAAAGAATGTTTTGTTGAAAGAATTTTGCTGGCACCCATTGACTTCCACAGTAGAAATAAAAACACTGTAGAAGACATCCAGCATTCTTCAACATATCTTCTTTTGTGTTTGACGGAAGAAAGAAATTCAAATAGGTTTAGACCAAAGTGAAAGCTGAGTAAATGATGCCAGTTTTCATTTCTGGGTGAATTATTCCTTTAAATCAGCAAGAAATAGCTCACTCTCAGTTGAGTATCATTGACTGATGTTTCTTCCTCCAGTGCGAGCAGCCTTGTTAAAAGCAGCCGTGTTGAAGTAGGTCAGATTAGGCGATGTGTGTGTGTTTTTTTTTTCTCCCAGAGTTTCACTCCTTATTAACTGCAATAGAAAGCAAGCCTCCTCTGCACTGGAGGATCTGATGAGGGAATGTGGGCGTCCACCAGCTCATCTTGCTAGAAAACACGCAACTTTGTTTATTTTTACACCATCCGTCTAGCTGTGCTTCCCCAGATTTAATGTTTTAATGAAACCTATCTATCACTCTTATGCGCACATTTTTTATTTATTTAGTTATTCACCAGCCTCTTTTTTTTCTTATATGACACCGATGTATGGAGTCATATTAGTCTCAAAAATAATACAGTCTCTAAATGAAATTCATAAACAATTCGCACTGACAAAATTAAATTTGTAAATTCAACTTAAATACACAAGTTGCCTTTATTTGATTATTTTTCTTCATAATATTGAAAGCTGCTGTTGGCCATTTGAAGTTCATACAAATTGAGGATATAGAAGGATGAATCTTTACACTGGGGTCATTTGCATACTGTAAATCTCATATGCATACATACATATTAATGAGGAAGAATACATTCTTCTTTACCTTTCGTGCATCATTCCTGCACCTTCATTAAGCCAATGTTTCTTCCCTATTAAGGTTATTCATGAGTTTACAATTCTAGAACGTGGTAGTACTACCAAACTACGGTTTTTAACCATTTCTGTCTTTTAAAAACCAAGTAGTATGTTCACAGAAAGAGCTGTTTTTTATTTTGGATCTTTTCTGTGAAGTCTTTGAGAATAAGGCCAAAAATTATTAAATAATGATCAGAGATTCTGCTTCAAAGAGCTTTTGTTTTTCGAAAACTGTGAAAAATGCTGCTTTGTAGCATCCTGCGTCTTTTTTTTATACATGCATCTGTGTGTTTTGCTCTTAAAGGGATAGTTCACCACAAAAAAATGCACATTTACTCATTATTTAATCTCATTTAAGTGGTTTCAAAGATAAATTTTCTGTTGAACACACACACATAGTTGTATACACACTTTACAGGGACACTACATAGGCGTAATGTATTTTACACAAACCACTTATGAAATGGCATTATCCAACTTTGTGTCCCTGTTAACCACAAATATCTCTACATAGAATGATATTTAGAAAAATGTTCGAAACCGGTAACCACTGACTACTTAAATATGATTTTTAAGTGTCTTGCCAAGTCATAGCCTTGTCATTATACAACTTCATGTCCCTGTAAACCACATATATCTGTACATACACACACACATACAAAGACATTTTAAAGAATGTTTTAAACCGGTAACCACTGACTTCATTAAATGTGATTTTTAAGCATTTTGAATTAGAGGGACACAAGGTGTGACCCTGTAAACCACCTTAATAGTTACAACTAAGTCATACCCATGTTATTATACAATTTCATGTTCCTGTAAATCACATATACCAGTACACACACATGTAAAGATATTTTGAAGAATGTTCGAAACTGGTAACCACTGACTTAGTTAAATATGACTTTTAAGTGTCTTGCATTAG